CTCCTCCTCCTCCTCCTCCTCCTCCTTCTCCTTCTCCTTCTCCTCCTCCTCCTCCTCCTCCTCCTTCCTTCTTTTGCAGTATCCAGAGCCCACAAGATCATTCCCTGAAACTGGCTGGCCAACTGCCAAATTATTGCAGTATGAGTTTCGGGATTTATCCCCCAAATAAAGAATCAAATAAACGGGTTAAGCTTCTGATAGCCATGTGTTTTGCTACAGAGTGGGGTGGAAATCCTTTTCCTCTGCAAAACAAAAAACAAGCAAAAATTCTAGCCCTCTTCCTCCCTCCAATATTACCATATCTCTTGTAAATGTTAGGGGCAAAAAAAGGTGAAGGCGCTTTACCATTGATCTGCTTACCAAAAGAACGTTGCATGTTGCAGAAGACAAAATGCCTTTCGAGCAAGTTGCAAAAACTCTCAGCCTTAACGTGGTTCACAAACATGCTAAAGCACGGTTTATTTCACTGGTGTATTGAACAAGCCACAATTGGTTATGTCATGTACGCTAAACCATCAACTATATCACTTGTGCCAGAGGCCCACTATACACCCTACTAAGCTGTAAACCATAAACCCCAAACTAAGATACGGTTTGCTTGATTCGAGGCTAGGGTGCTGGGTGAACTTAAACCATTTTGTCATAAGGACCTGATAAAAACGTGGTTACCTGGGCAGGTTTGCCCCATGTTTAGGTGGAAGTGGGAGAAGGCCTGTTATATTTGTTGAAGTCAGAGGGCTGTGGCTTACAACACTGGTTGTGAGTTGAGCAGGGTGTTATCGTATTGCTACTTGTGAATTTTGCCGAGATTTCAAAGGACGAAATGTATGAAAAGGAGCACTTTTTAAGTGGTTAGTTACTTTTTCAAGGGTTAAAGAAGAATGGGTTGCAAGCATAAGATGGCATGAAGAATATAACGTGAATGATGTTCATGGAAACCAGATTTTAGCACATTTCCTTCTCCTTTCTCTTATCACCTCTCTTGAATTCCTCTGCCTCCTATTTCTTGCTCCTTGTTCTGCACCACCGTTGAAGCTACGCATACGTCTACTCACATGAATATAGGAAAAAGAACAAAAAAATCGTAAGAGGCCCTGTGGTATTCCCCAACTTGGTGCCATCCAGGCATGAGGATTTCAGCTCTGACTGATTGTTCTTTCGGGGGTGGGAAAAGGATGAGCATTGGCTTCACCGTCTGGAGGGCACCACGTTGGGGAAGAAGGATGGTCTTTCTTAGCCTAACCCACTCCTGACCTGTGTAAACATCCCTCTGCTATGAATTGGTCCTTGGTTTAAAGCACCAATATTTACTGATCCTAGGCTGGGGTCTTTTCGACTCCCCTCCCCAACTTAGTAAGGAGACAGAAAGCCAATCTTGCCGGTTGATCTTGATTAAAAAGGCCTTGCTTTTTTTTCTGTGAGTGCTTTGATTTGATAATTGGGTGGAGAAACAACATGATTCTGAGATTCCATTGTATGGTTATCTCTTAATTTCTCCCTCTCTCTCTCTCTTTTTTTACTCTAAGCTCTAGCTGTTTTGCAAGGCCTGGGTGATTTTCAAATCTGTTTCAAACTTTGGGGCAAATATTCAATACATTCTCATTTTATTTATATATATTTTTAAGAAAAAAATAAACCAAAGAGGCCCACTCTTGCAGATTTTCTAAAGGTCTTCCCATTTATTTTTTCCTCTGCCAGTATTCAAAGATATACTGCAATGAGATGTGGAGGTTCATATTTAATCAGCCTGGCCAGGTAATAGGTAGCCTTGTTGCTCTGAAATGTAGCTGGACATTGCTTATATTTTGCTCGGTGCCCCACAGGCTGCTCTGTAAGCTTTTACTAACTGGGTTCATGCAACCCTTTGAACCAATTCAGTTAAAGATTTAAGAGCTGCGTTTGCACAACATGCTAAGTTTGGTTAGTGTTAACCTTCATTCATGGTCTTTGTTGGGGTTTGTAGTTGGCTAGTTTCTGGTTCAGTGTACTGTGGAAGACCCAAATCCAGTAATCAGGCAGAACAGTTGTGTGACAATCCGGCACTATGTCATATGCATGTCAGGTGTCATACTATGTCATAAGTATATACAAGCAAGCTGCCTGGGGAATTCTGGGAGTTGAAGTCCACGTGTCTTAAAGTTGCCAAGTTTGAGAAACACTGTTGTAGCTCCCCAGTTCATCCAATCTTTACCATTTTCCTCTGCTGACGGCTCTGAGATATAGAACTCCTAAACACGGAGGGTCCATTTGCTGCATTATTCCTCTATCTGCATCTCTGTCGCCTCTAAATCAGCTGCCCAAAGTTGGGAACGACAGGCAGCGAAGTCCAGCAGATCCAGATAATGCTCGGACATCTCATATTATTAAATAATAACAGTAACCCCGCACGACAGCAGGCAATTTAGATGTAAGCAAGCAAGCAAACAAACGGGGTCTCGCGCCCCTAGGATCTTGCAGTCTCAATGTTGACGGTAGAGCTGAAGTCCACAGGAAGATGAGGCAACAAAGAAAGGGAGATCTGAAGATCCACCGATAAGGAAGAAAAGGGGAACGGCGTGCGCTCTTGTTAATTGGAATGTGTGTTTTCTTCTGCAGACGCTGATCAAGGTATGCCTCTCACACTGATTATTCTCTATTCTGCAAGCTTTCACATTCCACAGAAGTCTTTGTCAAGGAAGAACAATGGGAAGTCACTATGAGACTTGAAAGGTTAGCAGATTGATTATGCCTACTTGGGTGAACTAAAGCCTTTTTCTTCAGAAGTAGAAAATGTCTTGACTTGTTCACCAGACTCCACGTTTTAGCATTTCAGCTGGATGTATCTAAGTGTGTAGATTTTTTTTACAGATCTAAAAATATAGTCCCTTCAACTGATTGATTGACTGATTGATTGATGTGCCATCAAGTCGTTTTCGACTCTTAGCGACCACATCGATAGGTTTTCTCCGTGAAAATTACCTAAATTACTCTTAAATGGCTTGATAAGAATATGCATGTGACAGGGAAAGGATTTGCATCTGTGGCTGAGTCACCGGAGCTGGTGGTGACCCCCCCATCTGTTGGAGTATCTCGCTAGACAAGAGCAGGTAGGCTTTCAAGGGCTCCAGCAAGATTAAAAGTTTTGGGCTGGAGTGGAAAGTTGAAAACCCATCCTGGCAGGAAGAATAGCCAGAACGGTTTTGGTCCTTTTGCCAAGAAGGCAATGCAGACATCTCGGTGAAGTCACCAGAAGTCAAGACTGTCGTGAAGGAGACTTTCCCTTTTATGTGCAAACACACTTGGAATGTGGTTTATTAATAGGAAAATCATTTGCAGAGGGAGATCCTCCGGGAGCCCAAACGCCACAGCCCCAGTACGAGGAGGAGATACCAGGAAGCAAACACAGGGGGAGCTCAAAATTTGCAGAAGATTTGGGGAACCCTAAGCAGTCAAGTAAACAAGTATCAGAAGGAGTCTGCAAACATGGAAACTGTCACGAAAGCTTCTGGCTTTGAATGACATTTGTTAGTTGGAAAAAGTGCAACCTGACACATTTTTTACTACCATAGACTCACAGCTCTCCTCCTACCCTGTAAACAAGTAAACAAGAAGGATGGAATGCTGGTCTGGACCAGTGTTCATCAACCTCAGCAACTTTAAGATGTGTGGACTTCAACTCCCAGAATTCCCCAGCCAGCATGG